GGTTCCCGAAGGAAATTCGCGCAGGCGTTTATCGAAACGGTGCCAGCACAAATTTACACTGAATGCGAAGTCCGAATGAAATGCACAAAGATACACGAAAATGTGTTCAAACTATATAGACTGACGTTAAAGAATGACATATCCAAGGAACACACCAAGAAAAAGTCAGAATGACTTTATTTTGACGCCATGAAAGCCAAAATAATGATTTTTTATTACAAAATTTGACTGTTTATTACCGTTAAGAATAAAAATAAAGTCATTTTAATTTTTTGTTGATTTTTCTATATTTCTTGGATATTGCTTTTTATTTTCATACAAGCGATACTGAATCTATAAAAGTTACGAGTATTTTATACGCAGATAATGGCGTCATTATTTGCTTACTTTGGTGACAAAGTTATCGCGTGACAACACAAGTTTATAATCTTACTTTTAATGAGGTAACAAGACTCAATAAAGTACACAGTTCCAAGCTTTCGAGCTTGTGCAGAATGTAAGTGAAAATTCAATCGAATCTCACTTATCAAAATAAAAAGGAACATACAGCACTCAACAATATGACATCGTAAATGAGAATTATCTGAGTTTGGTGCAAACAGAAAGCAACTATACAGACTTCTATTTTAGTCTGGATATTACGTCATTTTATAATATTGTTCTATTATTTGAGGTAATTTTTTATTTATAATCTTTAATGTTTAAATAACGGAAAGCGCCGATTCCGAAATAATAGCATCGATACATTTTCTCTCTGAGAGATAATGGATCATATATTTCATTTTTAAGCCGATAAAAACAGTTAAATCATAAAATGGACGTCATCGTAATCTATTTTTAATAATTATTTATTAACATTATTTTATCGATCACAGGTGGAAACAAGCTTGAATTATTTTACGTTTTTTTGAAAAACATGCGTCACGCATATTCAGATCAATATTAAAAATTTTTTTCAAAGTATATATGTATTTTATGACACATAGATAATTGTTGGAATCGTGATTTAAATGAAAACGAGTTTTATAATTAAGTTTCCTTAAAAATATATTTATACATATAAATATTTTTTATATATTTTTTATATATATTGTATGTTAAAATTACCCTCGCTTTGCAACTGTAAGGTTTCAATAAAATTTTGCTTTGTAAGTCTTTATAAGTCAGAAGAAAATTAAGATTTCAAAAAATTATAATCCTGTAAGTCTTGTATAAATGTCGAAGTCATAATTTTATAAAAATTTTTTATGAAATTTGCAGTATATTTAACAATAACAATTTTTTAATAATATAAATATAAAATTTGTTGCGCGAAATTTTGGATTTCAAAAATAATTTAGTTTAACAAGAATTGATTTATTGCATATTTTTATGCAATTTCGTACATATTGCATATGCCACGTAATAAATCGACATATTAATTCCAATGGTGTTAAGAAATGAAAGTATTTAATACCGTATCGTTATTACAATAAATTACAAAACATTGTTGTTACAGAATATAAACGATTCATTATCATTACACAATGCATTAAATTATAGAAACAATAAATAGCATGCGTGATTTTTGAAAAGCTAGATATATGTATATATTTTTACAACCAATCGTGAAATAATCTTTTTACAAATGTGTGAGCGACGAAACGGTGTTTGTTAATAAATAAATTGCAGACGATACAAGTTATCGATCTCGAAAATTGATAATTCACCTTCGTTGTTTTTCTTTTCGTCGCGCCGTATCAAAAATAACATTTATCATCGCATAAACTTTGATAACAAATTGGGTTTACAATTCTCTATAAACTTCCGCTATATTACACACTCTGGCACTTGAGATTAGTGTTACGAAATAAGCGAATATCCTGAGAATATTCGGACATCTTTATAAATTATACTAGAGAATGTATTCTCAATATACTATATTAACATAATTCCTACTTTTAATATTCTCAGGATATACTTCAAAGTCCCTTTTCCAGAGAATTCATCGGAATATTCTCCTCTTCGGAGTACTTTCTTCCGAGAATACTTCCATGCTATTGCTCGGGATCCTTAATACGAGCAACGTTGCTGATTGGATGACATCAGCTGGAGAACCCAGGATTGGTATGCTCTATGACGCAACGTCGGCAGTAACGTTTAACCGCGCGATAACCGACCCACGTGACTCTGGAGCACTCGCCGATGTTGAGTTGCCGCAAGCCACGTACATAATAGGCCAAGGCTTCGAGACCAGCGTCGGTGATCCTCTCGCATCCGCATAGGGACAGCTTCTTCAGGTTCGGGCATCCGGTAGAGAGTGCCTCGAGGGTCGCATCGCCGATGTCGCACTTGCCTATGTCCAGGGCGCGCATACGCGGACAACCACGTGCCAGGGCGATGGTCGCGCTGTCGCTGAGCGCCTCGCAACCACGAGCGTTCAGGTAGCGCAGCTTGTAGCAATGACGGGCGACGACCAGCAAACCAGCGTCGGACACGCGGTCGCATTTGCCTACGGAGAAGTAACGGAGCGATGGACCGAGACGCGCCGCCAGCTCGCGCACCCCGAAGTCCGTAACTTTCACGCAATCCGACACCGACAGCTGACGTAGGTTGGCGCAGTAGGAAGCAATGGTAGCCAGACTGGAGTCGGTAATGCGGCTGCATCTACGTAAGTAAAGGCATCCCAGATGCGGCATGCGCGACAGACTTAGCATCATGCCGGAATCCTCGACTCCATGGCAGTCGCTAAGATCGAGCGACTGTAGCTGTAAAATAGTGGTACGACCGCAGGCACGAGTAACATTAGAACAGCCAGTCAAGTCAAGCTCTCTGAGATGAGCACAGCTATCCAGCACGGTGGTGACGTTGGCGTCGGTGACTCGACGCGAGTGTCGCAACACTAGGGAGGTCAGATTGAGATACGGCAGTTGAGCAAAGATGCCGGGCAACCCGGTGGCGCCTTCCAGGACCAAACGACGAACACAGGTGTGACAACCACGGCGTGTCAGCGCGTTTAACGCCGCGGTGGCATTCTGCGGATAACGCACCTCGACCTCTCGCCAGAGTGCCGGATGCCACGCGATCTCCCAGAGTCGTCGGCAAGTCTGCGCCAGGGAACAGCGGTCGCGGGTGTCGAGCCAGCTAAAGATCCTCAACAGCAGACTGTCGTCGAGCTGGCAGAGGTCATTGACGGCGACGTGATGAACCAGATGATGCTTAGGCTGCGATAGCTGTTGCTGCTGTTGCTGTTGACGAGTCGGCGTGCTGGATATACCCGGGGTTGACGAGGACGATGATGACGTAGTGCGGCAAGCATTGTTGTCGAGGGTGTGATAGCCCAAGTCGATAGCGTCCGCACCTGGTCGATAAACGCCGACCTTTTGCGACGAATAGCCTCCTCCCCGCTCAGAGCCGCTCTGTTCCCCGAAGCTAGGAAAGAGGAGTGGGCATGATCCTTCCATTCCATGCTCCGTTCTGCAATTCAGAAATTTATTTCAATACAATCGTGTAATTTTTACATTCATTTTCAAGTAGAGATAAAAATTGTTGGATCTGAAGAATATTTCACAACAGTGTGTGTATATATATTTTTTGCAATTTTAAACAATGTTTAAAATCCAATTTGTAAGAGCATATAATAAAATTATTTATTATTACTATTATTATTATTATTATTATTATTTATATTGTAGAGTAAGAAATTATAATATTGATATAATGTTATTATTGTTACTTTGTGTTTAGTAGATTTTCACAGATTTGCTCACACACATAATAAAAGTGTAGATATATTTTTCGAAACTAAAGGACAAATTCTAACTTAAAGTTTAACAATTAAAGTATATATTCAAAATTAGCAAAATTACAATAGAAATTGTTTTCGAATTTGTACCTAAAAAAAATACGCCAAAAAATTCAAATTTTATATGCTTATAATTATAAGCTTGTGTTGTCTAATAACGACATATGTCATGACGTGATTAATTTGCGGATAGATTATTCTTCGAATTTACGAAGCTAAACGTAGAACTGCCACAATTCAACTTTTCTCGATAGAATTACTTTCGCACTGCTTCAACGACAAGTTACGGTATTCGCTTTTGAGAAAAAAAATGTTGCCACTGTACGGATCTCGAATTTTGCGCGGCGGTGCGTATTTACAGAGCGCGAGTTATGGCGCGGGGAGGGGCCTTATCGACGCGTCCATTCGCGACGCGTCACGACCGTTTACGGCACGGCTTGACGTGCGAATTTCACAATTAACTCACAACGGGATGCTGGACGGGAGAGTCAGCGACCGTGCGTGACATCACCGAGCAATATCGATCTATCCGCCACCTCCTCCATGTTGATCCCGCATTCCAACTCTCGAAGCAGATGCGGGGCCCGAGCGCGTTCCGCTCGCACGGGGGGCCGAAGGACCGCGCGAGAATGGGGTCCACTCGACGACCTCGACGTTCGCGCTCACCCTGGAAATCCTCGAATTTGTCGAATTGCTCGTGCAGCCGCCGAGAAACGTGCGCGATCGCGTTTCGCGAACAATCCGACGAAAAGTCCGACATATGACAGGACTCCCGACACACTTACAGGGCCCCCCCTCCTCTTGTTTCCACACCAGGGCCCCTGAGGCCCCACTCCAATCTTCAAGTCGATCAACCGGGACTTCTAGCGGACTCATGATGAAAGGTGCGTTGCGAAAAGCGCTTCGCTTCATTGGAGACGCATAACTGTGTTGAAAGGTTTCGCATGAAATCAACGAGCTGCTAGATATGTAAATATGTAAACCGAATAAAATTCGGAACAAAAAATAAGCGTAGTAAATAATAATAAAATAGATCGTGTACGAATGTGAAAGTTTAGACGATTGCATTGGCAAAATGGGCAAAATGGCGATAGACCGAACTCTAGTAGGCTATCGTGTCTCATTACAAGGCTCATTCGATGTAAAATGAAAATCAAACGTTTATACATAAATTATCTTATAAAGCGTGTAATACTTCGGAACCATAAAACAACTTAATTGTTCTATAATGGATATATTATTCTGGTTTTTTACGGGAACAATTTGTAGAACGCTAAGTAGGCGACAGAAACAAAGATCGTGCCATTTCCTCGCTGGAAATATTCGTAGACTCGGCTACGTAGTTCGATGTACACGCCCATAGAGGCGTTAGTAGATTTTATTATAAGTGCGGACATGTCTACTCTCAAACTTTCTTTAGTTCATGAAACATAACCTCGCTGTAACATATTACTGAACATATGTAAACAAAACAACGACATTCTCTGATGCATCAATTACAAGTAAATCATAAGGTTTATTTTTTTGTTATTGTACTGAATTGCAAATTAGAACTTCTCCTCTCGCTTTTACCAAATTTCGAATATATTTATTCCAAAGTAGTATTAAGTATAAAAAGTTTATATTAATTCAACTATAAACAGACTTAAAATTTACAGAAAGGGGATAAGAAAGGCAAAAGGAAGAAGGTAAAGTTTCCAACGGAATGATGAATTAGTCAATAAATAAGAGAAGCAGAAAAGAATGGCGAAAGGAGAAGCTGAAGAAGGCAAGGAAGGCTGGCATGTTTCAACCATCATCGACAAAGAGTGTAAGAACGTCAATCCACATATTCCTCAGTACATCAGCTTGGAACGGTGGTATTTCATTGCCCAGACTCCCACCTTGAAACACCAGAGATAACAGTCCAAGAAACAGAAGCAATACAGTTCCATAAATATCTAGTACAATCGTGGATCCTATCTGAGTGAAAGCCAAGTAGTCAAGCCATTGGAGAATCAGGAAAGAAAACTACAAAGGCAATTGATAACGCTCAAGATAAAGTATCATTCACTAGAAAAGAGACGGACATTAATAGCGTTTTCTCTTGGCTGCACTATTGCCCACTAGTGCAACACTCAGATAGTGTACCATGTTTCTATGGCTACGGTGTAATGCAAATTTTATACACAAAGTGAGATTTTGCTACACTGTCTCAAAGGGATGGTGTAGAGCCAGTGTGACGTTTAAAATTTGAAAATGGAAGTCAAGCGAAAACAGGGTTTTAGCGTAATAATGATGTAATGTACACCACAGTGTGTACCACTCTGGTGTAGTGTAGCCGAGTGTAGCGCTTACACGCAACTGGTGTGGTGCGAGGCTGCACCCACTGTATCCCATAAGAGAAAACACTACAAGTCAGATATGTCAGACAGTAATCATTCTACAAATAAATCTTCGTCTGACGATGGCTGGGAAAGATCAAACAAAGAAGAAACGAAAATTCAAGAAACAAAAACGGAAGAAAAATTGATAAAAGATAAAGAGTAATATCGAGAAACAAGACAATGATGACAAGATGAAGAAAGCATTGGAAAAGGAAGAGAAAAATGCAAAGGAAACAGATAGACAGTTGAAAACAGGCGATAGGAAGATAAATTGTCCATTAATGCGGCGCGTTTATTCTTCAAAGCGAGACAAGAAATTTTCATTGCAAGAGAGAAAGAGAAAATGTTTGTGCTTGGAAAATTAATGCTAAGTTATTAGAAGTTGTTAAAATTGCTAAGTTATGTAACAAAGCTCCCTGTATTTACTGTACATATATTAGTATTTATTGTAATATATTTATATATATTATAATACTTACATATGTATAAAGAAAAGTTGCAATATAAAATATCTAATTTATTTTACAAATATAATGAAAATTTAGCATTTAATACTTTATATAGCATAAATTACACTAATTATGTGCATGGGAAAATTTTCTGTGAAAATTGCTTTAACTATTATTTGAAAATTAGAAAGTTTAGACGAATTAAGTTTTGAAAATATAAATATGTATACTATACAATATTTTGTTTTTACAGCGATTCTCTGAAATGTTTAAAATTTCGTTCACAAACGTCATCTAGATATTTTCCGCTAAGAAAAATATTCCGAGCTTTTTATTTTGGACCAAAGAGTACATTTAGAACAAATATAAGCACGATTACGTCTAGCAAAAAAATGAAGCTTTCAAAATATATTTTTACATTAAAGATATTTTATTTTTTATAAATTATTTTTTAGCTGAATGTATACGATACAATTATTTTGGCTGTGTTCGGAAACGTCGCTTAGATGCCTCTGATGCTTCAGATTCATCATCTTGTCTTTGTTTAGCATTAATGCTAAACAAGGACAAGATGATGAATCGGTGGCAGCCTTTGTGTCAAGTTTTTCTCTTCGAAGCATAACACAAAACTAAAAACATGCTAACAAAAGCTTAGAAGAATACGTTCCACAGATTTTTATATAATATAAAAAAAAATTTTTGTGTATAAACCCAAGCAGAACAACAAGTCACAATAACGTCAAAATGACATTAAAATGAATCGAAAATGATTGAAATATGACTTTTAATGATCATTTTAGAATTATTTTGACATCATTATAATATCATAATGACTTGTTCTACTTGAGAAGTCGTCGATTATCATCGAAGAATGAACGGTCTTTCACATTCATAATTCGCGCGGTTTACATTGGATTACATCGTGTGGCGCCAACGTTTTTGGAGATCAAATCCAGCCTATCAGAATCGTCGTTTCGCCGTCGCCGTCGTGTGCGGCCTTCATGATGGGGGTATATATGTATCACACCTAATGCTCTTGGGAACGAATTATGGCATTGTCTTTTATCAGGACTGGAGCACTACAGTACGGAAATTCGCACTTGCGTCTGTTCGCCAACGTATCGACCATGAAGGTAATACCGCGCGATTCTTCCTCGTCGATTAAAAAGCGGCACGTTCGCTCATCGAAACGATGAGACGCGAAATTCTCGTGGAATCTCGGAAAATTCGGACAAGCATGATGCAATTTGTCGTCGTGTGCAAGCGCAAACACATCTTGGGCGTCTTATCTAAACTCTTTCCTGTCGACGTCAACAATCAAATGTCGACGCTGACTCGATATTCCATATTCTCAGATATATTTACTCGTCGACGATCTTGTCCTGTTATCGCCCGCTTCACCTGACATATTTACCTCTTTTTTCCGCAGACGGGATTGGTATTGGGTGTATACGAAACTGAGAGCGAGGACAACGTCGTGCTCACCCCTACGGCGGCCAAGTACAATGAGCTGGTTAACGGCAAGCTACTGAAAAACATTCTGCTGTAAGTCTCAATGCCCGCTACTTATCATCGCTGTAAAATCTCTTTTGTGCATCCGTGCGATTTTAGAAACGGCATCACGCCGCAGAGCGTCGTTCTATGTGTTATAGACTATTATATTATTTTGTTATCTAACAAGGCTGTATCCCTTGTGCGTCACTGTTGTAGAATATACTTGCCAGACTACTCTGCCTTGACTATTTGGACACAAATGTTAACTCGAAGCGTTGAATACTCTTTAAATACCTTTTTTCTTTCTCCATATTGAACCCTTCCTTCTCTCAACAAAGTTAATCTATGTTCCTCATGTATATACACACATACTCTTAGCACATACTTTATTTAACAAGCGTGTACAGAAAGTTATAGTATCATGACGTGTACAAGAAAGCCCCTGCCCCTATACAGCATTGCACTTCCAAATTGTTGTTTCACTTTCGTTTGATCATACGATATAACAAAATATGTTTAAATATTTTATTCATATTTCCAGCCTGAAACAATTGTTATAATGCTGCCTGAGCTTTATCTGACATTGAAAAGTGCTTTCCCTTTGTTATCTTAAAATTGTCATATATGAAGTATCATTTCTGTTAATTGAAAATTTTGAATTTTTCAATGATAGTCTTGCGCAACACGAGCTCACTGGCATTATTTTCATTGTTTCAGGAGTGACTAGAGTGAGAGACGGTATTATACGCATGATATGAAGCGCAACTTGCTCCGCACAAGGATATCCTAGAAACACGCTGCGCTTTATAAATGAGAATATAATACTGCCTGATTTATGATACATTCTTTTCAATGCGACGTCAGACGAAATTGAAATAGGAGATTTTAAGCTGTTAAATCGTTGAGTTAATTAACCATCACTGCTTCAAGACTGACACAAGAATCAAGTAGAGTAATATTAGTAATGTCGACTCCTGGCGACAGTAATATGGGGAATGATAGCAGCGCAGGGAGCAGTGGTGGATTAGGCGATGGTAGCGGTAAATTTAATAAGCCTCATCCACCTACAAATGTGCTACAGAGAATGACTGGCATATTAGAAGATAAGAGCAATGATTACATGTGTCCGATTTGCTTCGATCTTATCGACACGGCGTATATCACACGTTGCGGACACACGTTTTGTCATCATTGTATTGTAAAATGTTTAGAGATTAAGGACCGTTGCCCGAAATGCAGTTTCACGTTGAGCGAACAGGACATTTTCCCGAATTTTCTGTTGGACGAGCTAGTTTCCAAGTATAAAACGAGAACCAAAGGTCTCGCTCAGTTAGGCTCTTACGCGGACAATAGTAGGCACAGAGCAGCGGGTAACGATTCATCGGCACCGGTATCTGACGGACTGAGGAGCATTGTGGCAGCGGAGAGCGCCAATCTCACTCTACCTGACGTAAATGTGATGTTGGAGGTGCTGACTCAACGAAAGCATTTGCTCGAGGCAGAGACTTGTACGGCGCAAAACAAGCTTTTACACGAGTTTCTCAAACACTTGCTGCAGCAAAAGGAAGAGCAAAAGAATCAGTTGCAAAAAGAAGTGGCATTGATCAAGAAGGACATGGAGGAAGTGGAGAACATTCTGAAAGACGTTCAGAGCAAGTGTCCGCGGGTAGAGGACGTCAAGAAGGCGAGTGAGAATGATAGCGCACAAGTATCAGCTATTAGGCGAGAGATGCTCGGCCTTATAGATATCATAGACTCAAATATGATAAAACCTAATGAGAAGGCGACCGGCACCACCGACACCTTCACCAATCCAAGTGTCAGTCAGCCCGGTGGATCGACGCTAGCCATACGTAGAAAGAGGCTACACGCTCATTTCGACGATTTCGTTCAATGTTATTTTGACTCTCGCGGCAAGGAATTGTTACTCGGTCAGAAAACACAGTCTCAGAGCGAAGCTCAACAGCACGGTGGCATGCACAGCACAAGTTCCGGTTTAGACGTCTTTCGCGAGAATCTCGTCAAGTTCTCGAGATACAATTCCCTTCGTCCACTGGCCACCCTCAACTACTCGTCGGATCTCTTCAATAACTCGACCATCGTGTCCAGTATCGAGTTCGATAAGGACAACGAATTCTTTGCAATCGCTGGTGTTACCAAACGTATCAAAGTGTTCGATTACGGTGCGGTTATCCGTGATACTGTCGATATTCATTATCCCTGCGTCGAGATGGTTTCTAGCTCCAAGATTTCTTGCGTTTCTTGGAATTCCTTTCACAAGGGAATGCTTGCATCTTCAGATTACGAAGGCACCGTGACGGTATGGGACGCGATGACCGGTCAGAGGACAAAGGCGTTCCAGGAGCACGAGAAGAGGTGTTGGTCTGTCGATTTCAATGACGTGGACACTAGATTGATCGCGTCCGGCTCTGACGATGCCCGAGTCAAGTTGTGGGCATTGAATACCGATTATTCCGTGGCGTCGTTAGAAGCGAAAGCAAACGTATGCTGCGTGAAATTTAATCCACGCAGCTCATGTCACCTGGCATTCGGCTCTGCGGATCACTGCGTACATTATTACGATTTACGCAACATGAAGGAAGCATTGTGCATATTCAAAGGCCACCGCAAAGCCGTCTCCTATGTCAAGTTTATCAACAAGGAGGAAATTGTATCAGCAAGTACGGATTCTCAGTTGAAGATGTGGAATATAAATAATCCACTTTGTTTACGATCGTTCGTCGGACATGTGAATGAGAAGAACTTTGTCGGACTCGCTACTGATGGTGATTACGTGGCCTGCGGATCAGAAAATAATGCACTGTACGTGTATTACAAAGGATTGACGAAGCAGTTATTCTCATACAAATTCGATGCCGTTCGAAGCATATTGGAGGTGCAAGATAGAAGAGAGGAAGATCTGAACGAGTTTGTATCTGCGGTGTGTTGGAGGCAGATGTCTAATGTCGTAGTAGCCGCTAATTCTCAAGGAATTATCAAAATATTAGAACTGGTATGAGACAATTAAGGAAAAGCAATTAAACGGGGAACTTAACTGATTGTGAGTGAAACGCATATTCGATTACTATAAATTAAAACGGGTCTAAATAATAAAGAAGGTAGAACCAAACTAGAAATATGAAAATAATAAGACAAAAATTCTACTTCAAGAAAAGAATTGATTAAATCTGTTGTTTTG